TTAATGCGTAAGAGGGTTTAAAAGTCTCAAGTAACTGAAGTAACTGAACTGAATCTCGAATGGTAAGCCTAAGTAATTATTGTATTTGATGTTTGTTTTTGTTATATCTAATTTCATGAAGTCTTGCACAGTTCACGCTGACAGTTTATGCGGCAAGTTTATGCTCGTTTGTAGGATTTGAGTCAACGATCTGACCTAGTATCAGGTTTGAGCGATTTGAGCGATTTTCTTGCTTCGAGGAGTTCACCTTCGAAAACAGTAAACACCGCGCCGGGAAGCAGGCTTAAGCTTTACGCTTAAAGACTCAGGTTTAGAGACACTTTAATAAATTGTTGTCTCTGTAAATGTTTCACCGAATTATATTTCTTTTTTTGATTGTTCATAGTCTCTCTTGCAATTTTAATCGCTTGTCCGTGCCGTTTGTTTTCATCGTTCATGAACATCGCTTGCAGGAGTACTCAAAAATGTCGCTCGCGTATCAAACGCTTTATAAGATTACACATCGTTATAACTAAAAACAATTAAATAACAAAAAAAAATAATAAATTCGCTATTATGTTGAAGCGTAACTCTAAAGTTCATTCAAACACTCGACCACACTCGCAGCTCGCACTATAGAAACGAGAACCAGCTGGCTGTATGTGTGATTTTGGAAACTTTTAAACGGTTTCGCTTAAAGCCCACGATTGATCGTCCTGAATATTGACTGAGTGCAATTTGTCTTGAAAAATTGTGAAGTACCGCATTCTGTCCGAGGTCTGTATGATAAATAGTACTGTTTCACCTCAAATGTGATGTATAAAAATTATAAAAGGTTGGTTTAAACACCCCCAGATTTGTTGGCAAGAATTTGTAAAGTAAACCTGTCGAACGCAAAAAAATTTGGCGTGATTTGTTTTCCAAGAACTTGTTTTCGAGGCCTAATCTACTGTGATCTTGAATGTGATCGAAGACGTTTGCTATTTTTTGGGTGTACATATAAGGTTATCAATTCGATGTAAGATGTTTCACTCTAAAATAACTTAGCCTTTCCCCCAAAAGTCACATGAATGTGCCCTTAAGTTAACTGATTTGTGGATTAAAAGTTTTTTGTTTTATTTAAGTTATAAATTTATTAATTGGAGCTTCGCTTTTAGCCCTGGCTAAATCTATATATTAACTTTTATTGGCAAATTTGTCGTTTTTTATGGTGAATTACTGTCTGTGTCGGCAATATGAATTTCGATGAAGAGCAAAATATGTTTTGCTAGGTTACTTTCTTTATCCCGAAGACTCCACTGAGATTCGCTTGTATTTTAGACGGCAACGTGTTCGACCATGTACGAACTGCACAGGGCTTTCAAAATGATAAACTATAGATAAATTTTGCTGAGTTTGCATTTCGCTTCGTTTGTACTAGCTATTTCTCCTATGAGAACAAATAAGTTTAAATCACGAACATTCGACAACGAAATAACTTAATTTAACGCTGGACTCGTCGGGACATAAATTTCAACCGTACAGACGATACATTTAACAAGACGGTGTAATTTACCTTGTGCTCTCAGTGGTTTTAACATTCCAGACTGCTCCGTTCGTAGTAAACTATGTTTGTGAAGCTGAGAAAGACGGCTTGGCGGTTTAAACGATAGCGTCTTTTTTCTCCTTTACGATGGCAACCTTCGCCAGCTCTCATAACTGAAGTTACCAATTTTTGAATGTGGCGCGGAGCAACGTCTTGATTTGAATAATAGTTTCTGATTAGATTTTGTTACTGCGCGTGTCTATGTAGCAAGTCGTTCTGGCTTCTGATTGGGCAGGAAAGCACAAAAATTTTCTGGGACCAATCAGAAGCCAGAACGGCGGCGACCGTTTGGAACTGGTCTGGTAAGACATTGTCCCCAGGGGCTCTTCTCGCCGTTCTTTACTTTTCTTCGTGCCATATTTTTCCGCCCGTTTAGACTTTCCCTCGCCCCCACTATCTGCCCCTGGGTCTCCGAGGATGGGTTTATTTTCATGCATCGGCCTGACATTTCAGTTCTGTCATGCCTCAGTCGATGTATCAGTTGCTATATCGGTCAGGTATCGAGCGAGTATCAGTCAAGAGTGAACCAAGGTATTTGCCGTCTCGTTGACTGAGTGATATGACCATGATCTGTCAGTAATCTGTTGGCGAAGTAACAGCTGACTATCGACCAACTTTCGACCGATAGACTGTAGTTGTCGACTACTGAGATTTGACTGACACGAAAAGATATAGTGCAAAGAAGTCTGTGATCAGTTTTAAGAAACCTTGATTTTCCTATACATTTTCTGTAGTTATCAGTATGAACTCCTATATAGTAAAAAAATCATTTACAAAAGCCAGACCCATAGGGAGAAGGGGTGCGACGGGTGCGCTCGCAACCCCACCGCCCCTTCCCCACATGTTCCAGAGGTCCATATACACTTTTTTGTTCATCAAAGTGAATGTAGCGTGTTGTTCTTTTAAAATTACTATGAGAGAACTCATAAGCCTGACTCACCCTTTCCACAAAACGTGTCTGTTTTGAAAGATTCGTAGTGTGGATCTAGTGTAGCAAATGTTTTCCCACTCAGTGGGAAAACAGGTCACGTGGTCTTTAGCTATACAGCTGTGATTTTCTGTAGTTTCTTAGGCCTAGTCTAGAGCGTCGCGTTAAACGTTACATCAGATTCAACGCGATACTTTATTGTAGTTGAGTGGTACTTTTCGAAGGGCTGTTACTTTCGGGGTAAAATCAGTAAAATGTTAGCGTTACTTTCGAGCCCGGGGGAGGGGGGTACTGCCATATAAGGGTACATAGGTATGTGCCGCAGTGAAGGGTATGATTTTCAAGCTGTTCACTCTGGGATAGGGCGTATAAATCGGGGAGTTAAGTCTCGAATAGGGTATCATTTTCCAGGAAACTGACAAATTGGTTGAAGATTTTAGTGTAGACTACGGAAAACCGGAATTGCCACTCAAAAACATAAAAAAAATTAAATCGGCAAATCTATATTTACGCAACTCAGCCTAAAAGCTACTCTAGGATAGGGGGATATTTAGATAGTTTAGTCTGGTATAGAGTAGCAAAACTCAGCTGAACTAGCTCTGGTGTAGGCTAAGGGTTCCAGGGTCCCAGCGGCATACCCCCACCCAAATTTCCTAAAGAAACCCCACGGGCTTTCGGGTAGCCGTTATTTTAAGGAGGGGGGCGGTTTCTTTCGGAATTTTACGGTAGCTTTACGATCGCTAGCTTTAGGTGTTAGGATTTTCCTCTCTTTATAAATAAAAGCGGCCCAACAACTTTAAGATCGAAGCGCAAAATACCGGCGTTCAGTCGTCAACACCCTGAGTGATGTTTACTCCGCTACGAGATGATGACCAGCCCCTCCCCCCGAGTTATTTCGAGTCCTTTTCCTTTTGTCTTTTTAAAAGGTGCTATTTTGCGTATGTTGTCTACAATGATAAGAAGCTGTTGTGTTAAAAGGCCGGGTATTAAATCTTCTTTGGCTACTAGTAGGCAGATTTAAACGCACAACCTAAAACGTTTTATTATAAGCCATATACTGATATACTTTATGAGTAACGTATGAATTAAACACTCTATTCTACAAAAAAGTTACCTATTGGATAGTAAACTCTAATTATAATCGCTTAATGTTCTACCTGCTCTCCAAATTCAGTCGTATCTCGTAAAACGTTTCACAAGCCATATACTGAAATAATTGTTTCTTCACTCAATATTGTCGATTTAACACAATGCCTACTTCATACGCGTGACCTACTTTATGAGTAAGTAGCATGAATTTAGGCAAATTCTATTCTATGAGTAAGCTACCTATTGGATAGAGAACTCTAATTGAAAAAGCCTAATGGGCCTACTAGATTTAATTTCATATCCTAAAACTTGCCATTATCAAATTATCTACTCTTGTCTTCAATTAATATTATCTATTTTATGTGCATAAATTTCGTCAGAATTAATTTCAAAAATATTTTATAAGTAACCAATAGCATGATATGTTAGAACAAAGAAAAACGTTTTCAACGTTATCACGTTGTTAGTCAAATATTCATACAAAAAGCAAGCTTAGGATATCGAAATGACGTCTCAGCAATATCGTCGCAGGCCTTACTTCTTTTACCAAGATTAATTCTGAGCATCTATTTGCCATCACCCACAACGGTAAATGTAAAAAAAATATGGCTTTTGGGCATGATTACTAAACTTTATAAAGACCTCGCTTTCTCTTTGGTGTGAAATAAACACACTTCGCTGAGTGTAAAACTGATTTGACAAAAACACCAATTTTTCATGATATACGACGATTTTTAACCTTGTTATTTTTTTCTAGAAATACTTCTGTAAACAACCTGGTCATGATAAACAATTCGACGTGACTTCCCGTAATAGACAGTTTTATAGACTGCCAGCCCATTCTATCAGCAGCGACAACTGACAGAACCGATGTTACTAGGCTCTTGATAGTTCATCGATGATCTCCTGCATGGTTGGTCTCGCTTCAGGATCTGTCAGCAGGCATCGCCGAACTAGGCCTCTTAAAGTGCGGTTCGACATAAGAACAACTTGCTCGTCACGCCTTTCAGGATCTGGAAGTTCCCCGATAGACATTTCACATAACAAAACACCAAAGCTGTAAACGTCGACCTAAAAAAGAACAATAGATATGTACTGGTGTTGTCTAAATGGTAATTAGCTCTACTCTGTTCTTAATGAAAAGCAAGCTCTCGTGAAAATAACACTACGTAGATTCAATCTTAACAACTCAGGTGATTTTATGAGTACGCTTGGTTCAATGACATAGGCAAACCAACATCTTCTTTTCTTAATCTAGGACATCTCCCTCACGCGAATACAGCTTTCTTTCGTTTCTTAACGCGGAAACAAAATTTTGTCTAAAGGAACCGGTAAAAGTAAAAGTACCAAACTGATTTGAATAATCAATAATAAACCAAGTCCACCAAATTGTGCCCCTGTTGAATGGTTGTGCAGTGCTCAGATCTGAAACAAACGATTACCAACCTTAGGAGTCTGATTTGACGAAAGTGCTTCAGGTGCGCTATAAATCATAGCTCCAGGAGCCACTGTCATGGCCTGCTGCATGAAATTAGCAGTGCCATAATCTGACACTTTGCCTCTCCATTGGTCACCCTGTCGCCATAGCAACACATTGGCACTGCTGACATCCCGGTGAATGATTGGTGATGGTTTCTTCTGATGAAGATAGTTAAGAGCACGAGCCACATCCAGAGAAATGACGCGTATTTCTGTTTTGGAAAGCGGCCGCTCTTCAAACAAAGCTCGCAAACTTTTCTCCATGAGCTCTGTCACAAATAGCGGACTTCCTTCATCATTTGTGGCGCCAATAAACTGTAGCAAACAGGGATGGCGGCAAGCTGAAGCAATATTCATTTCTCTTTCAAATAAAAGCCTGTTATGGCGGGATAGAATCAGGTCATGGATTTGCTTCACTGCCACAGTACAGCCACAGTAGGCACCTTCATTGACACTTCCCCAACCACCCCTCCCTAGGCAATTCTCTGTCATCTGAATTTCATTACGGGAAATAACCCAGTCGCATGTTTCCTGTCGTCGTTGTTCACTGATTGTTTGCTGAGCTAATGAAAGACTTAACTCTAGTTCATTTACTTCCTGGTCTTTTTCCCTCAGCTGTCTTTGCAAATTTTCTTCACGTTGCTGTGACTCCCTCACCTGCCTTTCAAGGTTTCCTTCACGTTGCTGTGTCTCCCTCAGCTGCCTTTGTAAGTTTTCTTCACGTTGCTGCGTCTCCCTCAGCTGCCTTTGTGAGTTTTCTTCACGTTGCTGTGTCTCTCTCAGCTGCCTTTGAAGGTTTCCTTCGCGTTGCTGCCGTCTTGGCGAGTTTTGCTTTAACTCCCTGAACTGTCTTTGCAAATTTTCTTCGCGTTTCCGCATTTCTCTGAGCTGCCTCTCTAAATCTCGTTCGTGCTGCTGTATTTCTCTTGATGGCCTTGGGATAGGAGTTTGTACGCCTGCTCCACGTAGATCTTGCATTTTTTCTGTAAGAGTTTCAGACAAGGAAATTAATCACTCAACGTCGTCCAGGAGAGGAGAAGAGTATGTCTTGGTGGCAGAAAAAAGAAAAAATAGAACTCTAAATTCAAGTATTTAAGGCAGAAAGCATACCTAAGAATAAACAAAAACTACGGCATACAAGGTTTATTTATAACATAACAAAAGTAAAGCGCGTGCTCTGATTGGTCAGTTAGCCATCTACTATTTGCCCGTTGGTGCACGCGAAGAAACGCGAGCGCGGTAAAATTGAGGCAAATATTAAGCAAATCTGCTCTCCTGTGCGGTTTAACATGCACCGATAATATGTGCAAATGAAAAGTGGAAGTTGAAGAAAATACTTTGTTGTCGTTTTGAAGAAAAGTCAAATGATCGAGCGACAAATTTGACAAATTTGCCCTGAAGAAATTCCTCACTGTTTTGTTCGCGGCTGGGAGCTCAGAAGAAAACCCGAGCGAGCGAAGTTTTTTTGAGGATCTAAGTCCGATATTCAAGGCAAATTGTTGTTTTCTTTCTCGGGTATTGATGTCAACGGGAGCAAGAGACTGTCTCCCACCCCGACTGTGAGTAATTTGAGTCTCAGGTCGTGTCGCTATCTTTCAACGGTAACGCGGAGTTCAAACCAAGGTTCTGTCAATGGCTTCAGACGGGAAAGGTTGAAGAGATTGGCGACCTTTGATTCGCTCTCGATGCAAAGGCGTCTTGAAGCAAAATCACGAGTGGAAAGCAGAACTATCGTGTGTTAACTAGGCGGAATTTGGAGGCGACTGGAGACGTTGGAGCGAATTTCCGGCCGTTTTCCTTCGGTGGATCCGTCGGGCCGCTTCGCTGGAGTCCCCAGCCTTGGTAAACCTTTATATAGAGAGAAAACCGTTTACAGTACAACACATAAAACGGCCTTAAATCGGCCCATGGACCTCACAAGAGAGACGTAGCACACACTTTATGCAAGGTAAGCTGTTTTTTATTGAAATCCTTTTCGTAGGTCACGGAAACGATAATTTTTTTCCCATACAAATCTTTATATTTCGAATGTTACGCAACATGGCCGCTGTTCGCCGATACTCATATTTCGAAATTGGGCTACCTGTGTTGAAAGTAACAAAACGCGTCGACTGTTGCATATGTGCTTCTAGAGTTCTAGGTTAAGGCTCGGCCAAGCTGCTCAGTGGCAGTTATTCTCGCAGGCATCCATGTTTAACATGTTTACTGCTTTGGATGGTGTATTACTTGAGGAAGGCTATGTTGTATTTGTATCGGGGTTGTAAATCCGATGGCGTGCAAATGCATGATAAACTAACGAATCAGAGACTGTTAATGCTTGTGCTTGAGGTCCCTGAGGAGGCTCTGCCCTGAGTTCAAAATCCTTAATTTTTAAATCATTCCCCAACTGACACAACACCACAATTTCTTTGAAAACGTAAACCCCTTACTCTACCATTTTTTCGAAGAAAAGGTATCCATCTCATGCAAACGACTTCAGCGTAAAAAAAATAATGTTCAGTGCCCCTTTAAGGCAGAGCCCTGCTATGTAGAGAACTGTAGGGAGTCTCCCCTATTTACAAGGTCACTCAACATTGTCACTTTCAGACTGACCGTTAAAACTTCCCCACAAGACTTAACGTTTTGCAGCATTTTTGAGCCACTGTGCCTTGGCAATCAAATCTTCGGGTATAGAACAAGTCCTAAACGACTTATTTCGTTGAAACAGCAATGCCTGACATCAAAGCAGGGGGATTTTTTATAAATTCTAATAATTCTAAATAGCCAATCAGCTGTTCTCTTTGAGTTTGTTACATTAATGGTCGCAAAGTTGTTACGTTAGTGGTTAAGTTTTTTATTATGCCGAACTATTAACGCCGGTTATAGCCCAAGTCTGGAATTTGTCGCTGTCAACTCACACCTGGCCGGACTCTTGGAAGAGGGCGAACATCAACCACCTACCGAAGTTCGACATCCCCAAAGAGGATTCGGACTACTGAGTCATCAAAGTCACGTCCGTGATCGCAAGAACATTCGAAAAAGTTGTGTACCACACCCATGCAAAAGCGGTTGTAGAAAATAGCCTTAGCCCTAGCCAATTTGAACACAGGCAAGGGGGTAACTGCACAAACGGCTTATTGTCCATTCAACACCATGTATATAGACAACGACGACTGTAAGGCAGTTCGTTTGTTTACAATGGATTTTAGCAAAGCGTTTGATTCCGTAAATCATAGCAAGTTATCAGCTAAACTTAAGCAGCTTTCCTCAATCCTTACATCGTTAATTGGTACCATAGCTTCTTGGTTGCTAGGTAACAGCAAATTTTCTATAATAATCACCTCTGCAACTGGAAGGTCGTTAACAAGGGGACCACCCAAGGAAGCGTAAGCGGGCCTTATCTATTTAATATATTTTTGAATGACCTAGAAATTTCTTTTAACAATGCTCCTGCTCTACTTTAATATGCTGGTCAGTCTACAATAGTGTCTCCTGTTAGTAATCAATGTGATCCGTCTGCTAACCTTGTGGGACAATTTATGACATGGTCTAAAGAGAACAACATCTCTTGCAATCCAAAAAAATGTAAAGAACTTATCTTCAGAAGTAAAGGCAACAATTCTCAATATAACCCCGTATTCGACATTTCTCAATGCAGTAGTCTTGGGGGGTTACGATCCAGAGTGATTGTAAGCCTGTTTCGGGCGCATGTTAATCTCAAATTAATTAAAGCAAATAAATGTCTCCATGTTTTAAGGACCCTTAGAAAAAAGCAATATTCACCAGCAGAAATAGATCACTTGTTCACTGTCTTAGTTTCGCCTAAATTTTATTTATGGCGGTTTACCCGTATATGGAGCTTCTGAACCTAATCTTAATATTATACAGAACTTTTTAGATAGATGTCATAAACGCCGTTTTATTTCTTACCCCGTTTCAGTCAAGGATCTGTTAATTAATAGAATCAAGACTGTAAAATTTTTAAGAAAGTAACTTCTATAAACAATCACCCGCTAGCTTCATATATTCCTTCAAAGAAAGTCTGTTCTTATAATCTCATGTCTGCCTTTGTAAATAGATTAATATTTAAACTCAACCTTAGTACAGGATAGTTAGGATTCTATGATTATATTATTTATTTCATTATGTTTTTTTTAATGTTTTATTCATAAACAGTTGTAACATCGGATATGTATCTTTATCTTATGTGAAATAAAGACCCATTATTATTACTATGATAATGATGATTATTATTATTATTAGTTAACTTTTTTTATTACATTAGTGGTTGATATTTATTACATTAATGGTTAGTATTGCATTAGTGGTTGATATTTATTACATTTATTTAGTGGTTACTTCTAGAACGGGCGGAACTTATCCAGTTTTCTTTAGCTTGAAACATGCCTAGGAGTATTGCTACTCTCTCCTCGACAGCGGTTCGTGAGTTTCGCTCTTAATTTCCGACCTGTTATAGGTGCTTGCAGCATCCTTCACAGGACGAAAAATCAAGTATCCGTAAACTTAAACATGGTGGAAACACGTGACTCCGTTGCGGAAACACAGCGGCAAACGCGTGTTTCCGTTAGCGGATACATTACGGTTTCTCATGTTTCCGTCGCTGCGTTTTCAACGGAACCGGAACACTTTTTTACATGTTTCCGACAGATTTCCGTTTCAGGAATCACGTATTTCCGCAATCGTTAACGTGTGCTTATGTTGCGGAAACGCGATATTCCGTACCGGAAACCTGTTATTTCGTTCGTTCTACTGGCGGAAACGTGAAGATACGGTCCGGCAACCTGACTTGTTTTTCTGTGTTTCCGTCTGTTTCCGTTACTACGTAAATACGTCCAAAAAGTTTCATATTTGCCGAAACCAGGTTTTCCAATGGCAATTTTTTCTTTATTCTTACATGAAATTAACCTATTATATAAGTCAGACAAATATATACCACCATAAACCTGAAATCCATCTGTGTTGCATTTAAAATTTTATTCATTTCCTGCACATAGACTCGTATCAAACAATGCTTATTTATGGTCCTATCTCATACGCAGAAGTTGCAAAGTGAACACAGTTGTAGCGTGCTTAGAGGGTATAAAATAAGTGCAAAGATTCAAATGCACAAATTAGATCAACAAAAAATGAATGGCTAAACTTTGACATAATACAAGTACTGTTTTTGAGGTAAATTAATTGTATACTTCACAAATTGAAAACCTAGCCTTTTTTTCAACATACTAACAAATTTAACAGACACTAATGTAGTCTTGAATTCAAGTGCAGCTTATGGCTAGTGATAGTTTTACAGCCTATAATATTTCAGCAAAGTGGAATATGATTTGTCTGGTGAATGTCCTGAGTAGGACTGTTGTTGACAGCGACTGACGTTTTATCAACAACGTGATCATCAATTTCATGGTCATTGTCAAATCATCAGTTCCTGTTTGATCATTTTCCACTTTCTTATTTCAAATGAATCCTAGCCTTAAACCATTCAGGATAACAATAAAATTATTATATTGTGTCAGGAAATATTCTTAATCTTCTGACATGGTGTTCTAAACTACTTACAATTCTCTATGACCAGTGCAAAGATTCAAATGCAAAAATACACCAACCAAAAAGTATGGCTTCAGTGTTACAAAATTCAAGTCTGCTAAAATTTTTTATGTGTTTCATGTATACCTTTTTTTACACCTCTCACAAAATCAACGGATACTTTTAAATGAATCTTATAAACTTGAACATAAACTCTGTTTTACTATCAAACATTGATGAAGGTAATAATTATTATTTCAAGACCTTGACAGTTTTTCAAATTGTTTTAAGGGACTACATGTATGCAGAGTGCAAAGAAAATCATTTTTACAGCTTGCCATCTGCTTGATGAGCAGAACTTATTTCACAGTTCTTCTGTTATTCAAATTTCTCAAAAACATCACTTGCCCGTCTGGCAAGTTAAGAACAGAATTCACTAGCCCTATAGCAAAATCCACTAGCCCTGGGCTATTGGACACTGCTTTCTTTGCACGCTGTGTATGTCACGAGGATACTGGTGTTTTAAGTCACTTCTATTCTCAAGTCATTACTTAGTGCTCGACCGCTGGATATTGGCCAAGCTCTGTTTTGTGAGGCCAATTAAGTTCCATGATCTTGCTTGCTTTGAGAGAACCTTCTGCACCAAAATTGCATACCAAGGTGATCTGACTGTTGGATGAAAAACAAAACAAAGTGCTTTTAAGCAAAATTTGACAGAGGCTATTCCCCAGGCAATCAGGGGGAGGAAAAACCTTTTTGCAGTAAGAAAACTACACGTAGTAAATGAATAATATATAACCACAAATGTACATGTATACAGTTGCGTTTCATAGTAATATAGTCAGGATATTATGTTCCCTGCACAATAAGACTGTGGACCAAGGGTTTAATGCAAACAGAGGCTGTCTGTAATGCATCAGTCAATTCCAGCTGAGCCAAGCCCCCCCCCCAGGAATAAAATGAAGAGGGTTGTAAAGTTATGTTCTCGATTTTATGCATGCATTTCTTCATTGCATATCAAGCCAGAATTACATAGAGAAAACCGGAGCTATCGATGTGAATCAATGTGTTTTGGTTATTGAATCAAATTTCTGTTGATATTACTTCAAGAACATCCTTTCATATTACTATTCGTAACATATAACGTTACAGCGTTCTATTAATTTTAATGTCAATAATTTTATATTAATACTGAAACCCTAAACTGGTGCATGTCATCGTGGAGTGAAGTCTTCATTAGAATCCTAGCGCTATTACAAAGGAAGACGTTAATTGAAACGAAAAATCACACATTAAAATGCTTAAAACAAGATTATTCGACCATGCGATCAATGAAAAATGTTGCAGTGTTGACAGCGGAGTGGGCATTTGCCCTCTTTTTTTGTCCCCACCCCGGGGGATTTGACAGCTCAAGAGTCCCCACGCCCGGGAATTGACTGATGCATAATTCCCGATACCAGTAACAAAAAGCCTATTTTTCCAGGGCACTAAAGAGAAAGTTTAACCTCTTGCAGGTGGCACATTATCATCTACATGAACAGGGTCAATACCAGGAGAGGCAGGGGAAAGTAACTAGGTGTGGAACCAAGAAATGATGTTCTCACAACTTGTAAAGCAATCACCCTGGTGGGCAGCAGGGAATTGCAGTCATGTACATTTTATAACCACCCCCCTCCCCTCGGTGTACTATGTATTACACAATACAAAATTCCCATCAAACGTTTCTGAATACAAGCTGTCAAACAATATCAAACACAGCTTTTTTGAGCTTGATGCCTGAACAAAATCAAAACACACCAAATTATATTGAAAAAAAAAATCAAATGTAAAAACTGAGTCACCCCTGGGAAAGCAAAAAAGCCAGGGAAATCTGACAAGCGCTAGATTCAGAAGGAAAATGCTTACTATTCAGGCCAATTGAGGAGCAAAGAGTAAAATCGAGATGATTTCAACTTGCAGATTTAAAGACCTTTTCCTTGGGAAACAAATGTACTGACATTTTTGCAGAGAATATATATTTTAGAATTAACTCTGAAATGGATTGAAATATTAAAAGAAGCAAGACGGGGGTGGAAAGCTACTTCCCATACATTCTCTTAAATGAAATCCAAACAATGTTCTCACAACTTGCAAAGTGATCAGCAAGGGACTTGCCAGCGGATTTGTGTACTGATCATGCGCATTACGTCAAAAACTATAGATCAACAGTCTTGAAAAAAAAACAAAAGCATGGCAGTATAAGGCGGGGACTGTTTCTCACTATTATATTTTGGTAATTTGCAAATTTATTGATTTTATGTGGTTTTCTTTTTCTGTAAAACAATTTCCCTTTGCAGAGTTTGGAATATGCAACATATAGCTATCTTCATTATAGCTGCTAAGAAAAAGGCCTCAAGAGTTGAGCTATCGAGCAGTGTTTTGCTGCAAATCTTAGGAAAGTTAAAGTCGCTTCAAGGTACAGAGCTTTCAGTAGTAGTTGTGATTTGTTTTACGATCGTTTTGAATTTTAACTTTGGATTCAAGGTGTTGACTGATTGAAATAAACAAAGTGAAATGTTATGAAGTGTTAATTTTTTATTCAGTTATGATATGTAGAACAGTAGGCTCATATTTATAAAGCTTTCTTGAATATACTTGCTTCCGATGAATTTGACACTTGCTCCAGTAATTTTTATCAGCATCAAGTTATCCTTGCCCGGCAAAAATGATGTAACCTATAAATAAATCCAACGAGCGTTGTTGTTGGTTAAGATCTAGCACGGTTGCATTTTAGTTTCCCCGCATTTCAGTACTGAAAGACAAATATGGTATGCAAGAAAAACAAAGTTGCAGGATATAATTTTTTCAATTTTTAAGCATTTCTGATTTCCTCTGCCGGTTCGCTTCAATTCTTGCTTCTAAAATATTTACTGTGGGAAAAATACCGTAATTATCCACTGACCACCACGCTGGGTGACCGCTTTGCAAGTTGTGAGAACATCGTTTCTTGGTCCTAGACCTCGTCTCTTCCCCCCACCTGAGAAAGACCTTTCATCACCTTGACTACTTTCACACTGGATCAATAATTAACACACATGTCATCAAGAGTTTGGAATTTAAAGGTTCAATGTTGTTCCATTCGAATTTTTCCTTACGTGGGTTCCACTTTGTTTGATAACTCAATGTTTGATTGACTTGAAAAATTGTACGTATGTACTCAACTTTTTTGGTGAGTTGGGTTTTGTTGAATGGCTAAGCTGCATAAAACTCTTTCATGTGAAAGAGTTTGATCTAGCTTAAAAACCAAACATTCAATGTGATATGCTGGATATACATGTAATTCCTAAACTAAAATATTTTAGCAGTGAGAGGCGTACCAACAGAGGAAATAAATCAATAATTGACAAAATATCATGCCTTTTGTTTTTCTCACTTGTATTTGTACCTTGGTATTGAAGCTGCGAGGAAACTAAAAAAACAAGTGACAGTCACTGCAACCATATAACATCTTAACCGACAACAATGCACACTGAGCTATGAGTGAGGATATCACGTTACTTAAGTTACGATGCTGATTGAAAAATTACTGGAGAAAGTGTCAAATTTAGTCAAACTAAGTCTATTCTACAGAGCTTATGTAAATAGGAGCTTGCATATCTGAATAACTTAAAATACGATAAAAGTAAAAAATTCTGCCAAACATCTTAGAATTTTAATGAGTAGATTTTGAGAAATCATCTTCTGTGTACCATTGTTTTTTTTTCGCTGCCTTGTTGGTTTGTCTAATTTAAAACATGCGCCCGTCACGCGAAAGTTACTGCTGACTGCCCGCAAAACTGTGTTTAGCCACCTTAAATTCAATGTTATGTTTGCCACAAAACACTACTCCAGCTCAACTCTTTGGTGGCTATTATTAGTAATGTGTTGCATATTTCAAACTCTACAGAGGAAACTGTTTAACAGGAAATGTCTGAAAAGTGATATACAGTTACATGTAAAATCAATACACTTGAGAGTAACCAAACTATAATAAAGAGAAATAATGTCCGACCTTCAATTTCCTTTTTTTTTTTTTTTTTTTCCTCAAAACCACAGATCTTTGGTTATATAAGGGATGATCAGTAAACAAATCTCCTGGTTGCTTTGCAAGTTGTGGGAACATTGTTTGGATTTCATTTGAGAGAACATAATTTATAAGGAGTACCCCATCCCCACTGGTCAATATGATGCTTGCATAGAACTGCAGCATAATACAGAATAATAGAAGAAGTTTTACCAGTTTAACTTCACTGCTGGTATTGCTGTCCACCGAGATGAAGACTTAAAGGGGCTACAATTTTAGTATCATTCTGTGACAGTTGATTTCACACTATTTACCACGCCACATTACATTTAAGTTCATTTGGAAATTGGGTACCACATCATGAGGTAGCCAAATTATGTAGCGAGTTTATAGGAAATCAATTGCAAACTTTGAGATGTAGTTGTCAACTTTTGCGCGACTGAACTTCACAAGTTTGCTCAACATCCGAGTAGTCAATCGATAAAAATAGGTATCAATTTATCAATCGATAAATCAATAAAGATTGGTAAATCTGATTTGATTGACATTGATTGTATCGCTCAATTGGTAGAAATCTGTGACACACTCATTTAGTTTATCGATTTATCTAGATTTTACCAATTCCATCGCTTTTTATCGGAAGATACATCTGTTCTTCTGCTCATCCAAAAATGAAAACTGATTTCACGCAAACAGTGAATTTGTTGACAATTGAGTTGCAAAAATTGAGAGTCGAAGGATCAAACAATTTATTATCACAAGTCTTTTAAAAAAAGTTTTAAAAAACCTTATCTTTTCTTTAAAACCTGCTTTAAAGTCTTCTTCAGATGGCCGATATTAGCCAGGTTTTTTATTTTTCCCAGTTTTTCAAAATGTAGATCTGCCGCCCATTCAAAATAACTTCAGTTCCGCGTGTAGTTACTTCCTGGAGTAGCCAATAGTTAAAAAACTAAATCGATAAAAATCGTTAGCGATCAAGTGATTTTATCGATTGATAACGGAAAACGGTGAAAAGCTATCCAGAGAAATCTTTTAGTCTGAATTTTGGGCATCCCTTTGATGTAATAATTATAAAACCGAACCGTTCCTGTTATTATGTACAAAAGGGTCACGGTTTTAGAGAGACCCTTGTGTCTGTAATAGTTTCCACATTTCTTATTTCCATGTTTGTTGATCAGTTGTTACTCGTGGATGAGTTTTCTCAGCTGCACTTATGCCAGAAAACAACAATGTTGGAAGTACTGTTATAAATTGTTAAAATCATGAAATATCAATAATATCAATTTGACACAGCAATTTAGTTTATCGATTTTAACCGATTTCCGTTATCAATCGATAAAAATCACTTGATTACCATCGATTTTTATCGATACCAAGTTTTATCGATTGACTACTCCCGGTCTAGCGTAACTTCTTTTCCCAGTTGCATTAATCACTGAGTTCTTGTTAAAAAAGTCCCTATTCCTGGGATCACAGTTACTGCAAACATCTAAATATTCTTCAAGTTTATCTTGAGCATTCTCAGTAAAGCATTATTATATTATAAGCACTCCTTTGGAACTATTGTCAACTTTTTTTGTATGAGTAAACCAAATCGAAAGTGTCAATACACGACTAATTGAACCTTTGTGGGTCAATAACCTAATTTTTGACAAACTGTTTTTGTATTTCTGTAGTATACATACTGTACTTGATCTTTGTCGTTCACAAGACTCTGTGTAGGGCCTTCCTGTATGTACAAATTATTGATCGACGAAATTTGTTACTGTCTTTCTCGGTAAATTAAGTTATGAAGTTCAGTAGCACCAAAGTTAACTACGTCTCAAAGTTCGCAGTTTGATTCCCTAACTCGCCATGGTATTGGCTACTCTGCAAAGTACTATCCAATTTGCCAGCGAACTTTGCAACGTGGTGCAGTAAGGTCATGTGAAATCAACTGTAATTACACTTACACATGTCCATATCGCATTTGCTATGAAACTTGAGAAATTACTTATCAATCACAGCTTTGTGTCAACAAACATATGTCTGCCAAGCATTATATCAAACACTGAAGACCACAAAAATGAAATCTGGAAAACTGTCAAGCTAACAAGTTTCAAAAGGACCAATTGCCATCCTTTTCAACTTTCTTTAAGTCTGTCCATCTGTTCCTCATTTTTACACTAACAAAAATCTTTATTTGTACTCACTCTTGCTCTTTGCTTTGTTACTTAAAACTTCTTTTCATGTTTTGAGCAGTATTTTTATGTTTCACTGAGATTGGTGGTGGTTTCCACTGCTGTAGTTTTGACAAATTTCGTGACACTGCTCCTTTAAGTTGCTAAGTACTAGTAGTTATTGATCAGTGGTTAAAGAAACTTAGATTTGGTGTCAGGGCAGCTTACCTCGTCGTGCTATCTGTATTCTCCATCACAATATACAGTCTTGGATATCCTTGGCACAATCAAACACTCCAACTTTCAAATTATTCTTGGCCATCACGAGGTTTTTCTCTCACATCCTGCCAGTGTCAGAAAAGGGTCGCTTTACGAGGGAAGCGATCGACTACTGAAGGCCGATGGGTCGACAAATATACATAATAACCCTTAGATGTCTTGTGGTGCAATCGGAAAGCAAAAATATACTGACTCTACGCTCCTAGAACCTACAGAAGCTGGCAAATTTGAAGCCGTTGCAATCACTTTCAAAATGGACGCCAAAAAGAACGACCGGAATGAGCATGAGCAAAAGAAACGTCCGCTGACCAGCACTCCGCTCTGTTCTAGGCCCCATTCTCCCCATTCTTTCTTGTTTTCTCAGCCTAAGATGTCTAAGATCATTTTACTTTTATGCCAGTACTGATTGAGATCAATCTGACAACTATCGACAGCTGTTGGTATTCTCTGCCATTTTAATCACTTAGAATCGAAAACGGTGGCAACCTCGCGCACTTCACAGTCGTTGCATCAATGCAACGCGCGCGAGTATTTAATGCATGAGCCTGACCGTTTAATGGCCCGATCTCGAGAGTAAATTTACCTTTATTCACCTTGATTGTACGCAGAGCCAAAATTTCTGAAACATTTATCATGCGATCTTGGACATGGGTCGCCGGAAACGTAATGCAAACAAGAAAGAACGGAAATGTGCTAACAGAAATGTGGCGGAAACATGATCGTTCGTTTCCGACTAGGAAACATAACGGAAACGCGTCCCGTCCATGGAAAACTAGATCACCATGTTTCCGCAGGGCGGAAACGAGACGGATTTAAGCAACTGCACGTTTCAGTCGAGTTTACAAAATACGGAAACACGTTATTTCGTCCTGTGCTTGCTTGGCGAGTTGCTTCGTAGTCATTCAAAAAGGTTATTTGTTGAGACCATATAGGAGCTATTTTTCTATTAAGCTAATTCAAACCGGCCACTTTGCTCAAACTCATTTATTTTCAGCAGGCAACTCTTTAAAGCAAAACGGTAACTAATAGTATAATCCTGTATTACCTCAGGCGCGGATCCACACCAGTTTCTACAGATCGACTTATGGGAATCGGTCAAATTTTTTATAATAAATACATTTTTAATACAAAAATTTCCAAGTTAATCTTGAAAATGGTTTGGACTCGCCTTGCTTCATATCCACTACAATACGGAAATTGACCTTGATGAAGTGATCCGCCGATTTGCAAGGATTCATCCGCAACTGGCCAATATCCTGTCTGAATGACTGAGAAACCAAGGAAAAGGGTGTTTAGGAAGTTAAAATCCGAAAAATTCCAGAGGGGGAGAATGCCCCCGGACCTCCCTAGAACCTTGCGCTTTCGGCGTTCGCTGTTAGAAAATCGGTCAGTAGTTATCCTAGATCAGCGCCTGTACCTCATATCCTTACCCTCGTTCTAATTTTAATACTTATAGGTTTTAAACGACGACGTCACGCACAGAGACGTCGTTTCCTTTCAAGTCATTTCACAATGTGTAGCAGCAAGTTTATCATTTTAGCACTCTGGAAATCGTTAAAAAAAAAGGCTGACAGAATGATCTCTCGGTATATATACTGAAGATGTATACGAAACACAAAACCACATGGAAAGTGCTTTGTGCAGTATTTAAGCACGAATTTGTTTTTGCATCTCTCTGATACGTCAACCGTACGCGCGTACTTTCAATGGAGTATTCTACATGTATATTTCTTTTAGTTAATCTAGTTTGAAGCCTTGTGCAGGCTAATACTCTTTGTCAAGAGATGTTTCCTTTTTACTTTTACCGGCTCCCAGTACTTTATAACTCGGTAGAATCTCAATCAAAGTTCAAGTTACAGGTAAGTCTTGTTTAATTTTGCGATGGATAGGTTAGCGCTATTGAGTGTTTCAACATTCTGAGCCAACGTGAGATACGTCTTTAGAAACAACGAAATGAATTAAGGGGTAAAAAATACAATCATGTAGCTCTTCCCGGATTCATCTAGCACTGGTTGATGAATTACCCACAGAGAAATAGTCTTAAAAAAAAAAAAAAAGAAAGAAAGAAAAATGGAAGCGGGCTTTGAGAAAGTCTAACTAATGTTTGACCCTAAGCTTTCATCTAGTCTTGAATATGATCTGATTTGTTGACTCCAAAAGACTAGAACTGGGGCCAGCCTGATATCATGCTCTTTTTAAGTAGATCGATGTTGTTCTTGTAGTCTACCCTTCTTGACACTGTTGACAGCGCGTTTTGACGCAAGGATTGCCGGTTGACCAAATTCATAAGCGTTAATCTTTATAAACTTTAGTCTGGATATTTCACTCATCAATCTTAAATATTTAAGACCAGCTATTCATACATATGTACGGGTTTAACCATATGCTTCTCAATTCAAAAAAACAAACTAACTACTCTCGTCATAGCCTTGAGCAACCTGTTTCTAAACTTACGTACATACAGTAAGTTTAATCTCATTCCTCTTTTCATCAAAAACCATATTTCACACTCTTACCTTTGATACTGGCGGGCATCTTGTCAATAAACTGCTGACGCTCATTTGGATCAGCATCTTTTAGTTGAACAGTTTGTCCTTTTTGACAAGACCGCCATTCCATCAGTTCACTAATTGTAACTGTATCCTTGGTGACCTTCATTGTAGTTTCAGGCATAATTTTACACTGAAACGGTAAGGAAAGATAATGATATAATTTAAGTTACATTGACTATAGTGGCAGTAGTTTCTGTAAAATAACAACTAAACACAACAATTCACAGCCCATTTCACTGAGATCTCACTTGCTACAGGATAAACAGTTATGCCCTCAGTTACAGCACAATGAGTTCAATATGTTCTGCTCAAAATCATTTGTCAAGACCGCTCATATTTATATTTTCGTTCTTTTTTTTTCACCATAACTTATCTTTCTTTTTCTAGATTGGTAAATTTTCGGTCCTCAACTTAATGTACGGACCAAATCTGCACTTTAATACCTAAGAATACAAGAACCTGTTTAGGCAAGCTAAATATAATCAAGCAGGTTCTTCTGGTTAATTTTTACTGTTAAATTATGATAAACAATTTAACAAAGGAGTGTAACTTTAAGTTGTAAATTTAAGTACGACAAAAACATACTGTACTAAACTGTATGATATTCGGTAATAAGTTTTGTTAGGGTTATCATAATTGTGAATAAACAGAAAATTTATTTATTTTTCTCATTATCAACAATCTATTATGTCCTTCATAAAAATTACTTGTAAGAACCTAATTAAGAACCTACCTAACCTAAATTACCAATAAGTACCCCAAGAACAAGAACCTACCTCAAAAAAAGGGACCTTCTTATCACCGGGTATTCACACCTTATTTAACCATAGACTGCGAAACGTAGACGTATTTCCGGTCGTCACTTCGCTCCCTCTGAAAAACCGGACATACATATGCGTTTTGCAGGCTAATTTAACCAAGACGCCATCAGCTACAGCAAAATTTGTGCAATATGTTTAGCTAAAAATCATTTGTCAAAACCGTAGCCTTGCAGCTCTTTAGAACCTCTAATTTGTTTGGATTCCTAAATGTCGCAGCTCTTTTGTTTCGGGCTAGGTTCCATTGTTACTTTGTTTGTTCATTGCTTTATTCTCAGTTAATCCCTATGAGGTTGCCCAGTATACACTAGATCATGTGGTCCGTGGCTCGTCCCCAGACCTTTAGGAAGAGGGCCACACCACATCTCCCTTAATTCCCTACCATGAGCAAGCCAGGCAACATCTTCTCTCCCCGACATTTGATGAAAGATTATAGTTTAGATGAACTTGAGTTAATATCTTGTACTTTTTAATAGTTTTCACATATTTTAGCTTTTTAATGTCTTTGCGAATTAGGAGTATTTTGTATTTTTTTTTTAATTTTATGAGATCCTTTTTGAAAACCATATTTTATATGAAAAAGTAATCTCAATAAAGATTATTATTAGATTATTATTAATATGAACAGAGAAGGGTAACAAGAGGTAAAAAATATATCAAGATGATCACTATTTTTATGCAAGACACACAAAAAACTCATTATCGGACTGACTTAATAACACCTGAAGAATAACTTTGTGACGTAGGGTAAATTTTACTTGACAATAGCGGCCATTGTCGCATCATTTCAGGTTTCATGGAATACTATTTGGTGTGAATTTTAACTTGTACAGTGTACAAGAAATGGAGCATAAAAAAAGTCTTAGTTATCAAAGATTATCATAATAATACCGATCAAGAAAGTCGACAGGCTCACAGTTCAATGCACAGAAAGTTGTTAAGTGAGCTTTGAAATCAAAAAATTAAACTTGAACCAATAGATGAAACAAATACAATAAAGCTTCTATTCAGGGGACACCCTCAGGACCAAAGCAAGTGTCCCTTGAATAGAGGTTCCCCCTGATTAGAGGTTGGGCTGGGGTTTGTTAATAATTAACCAACAAAGACAGCATAAAAGAATCATCATTACGGACTTTAAGATGCCACGGTGATGACAAAGAGAACGTCAAAAAGGCAATAGGTTGAAATGAATCTAGGCAAAGCAACAACTCTGCACGTTTTTTGTACATTTGTTTAGCCATCACTGCACGACCAGGACAGGAAAATGCCAAATTTCACGTTTTATGGAGGACGTAAACAAGCGATGGCGAAATTTTCTTTCTCCTCATCAGGGGTGTAGCTAGGGGTGGTTCTGGGGTGCCCCTCCCCCCCCTTTGTGAGATAATTGTTTTTTGTCCCTATAATTCAGGTGGCCAAAACGCACGAATCTGAAGAATCAACATGCAATAAATCTTTTCCAGTGCTAGATTGTTAATTACTCCATTTACAGTGGACCATGTTCCTTTTCATAACTAAAATAGAGCAATTTATGCTATGTGGAAGGTAATTAACCTATGCAGCTAGTTTGTAGGCTTGTTGTTTAGTAAAACACAGCCTGGATGTCGACATGCCAATCTGGTAAGTAACCTGGGTTTGACATAGTGATAGTGTTAGCCCCCCCCCCCACCCCCATCCCTCCTTGAAAAATCTTAGCTACACCCCCGTTCCTGAACTTGAATATGATTCTTAGGAATTTGGCTGACAAAGACTACGCTTACATTTGACAAAGTAAATGGTTGGAGTAATCGCGATAGAGACTGAAAGAATGGAAATTCACTTTTTAAGCGACGTTTTTGTGGCCATCACCGTCGTGGTATCTTAAACTCCCTACTATTTTATTTTCATTTTCTTTTTTAATTTAATTTTTTTTAATCGGTAACACCTATACAGAAATCGTAATACTGAATAAACTTGTTGATGTTATTGTTATAATTATATGTTGAATTCACACAAGCGCATTTCATTGATTTATGTGAGACAGTTCAGTTTGGGAAAGCTTCCATTTTTGATTAGTGTGCCCTTAAAGACATCAACCCTCTTTTCGAGTGCTGAGGTTTCTCCTGTAATAATGGAGGTTAAAATAAACCCAGGTTTCAGGACCCAGAAAAAGTGTCCCTTTCCTCTGAATAGATCAGGTTACTCGTCCCTTTAATTGAGGTTACCTAATAAATACAAAGATTATGCGCACATTTTCCGGGACCAAATTTTGTTTCCCCTGAATGGAGGTGTCCCAAAAGAAGATGTCCAATTGTACTGTTTGCTCAAATAAACCAACATGGATGAGGTTGTTAGCATATATATACTGCATGGGGTAATGGTTCAACAAAATCTTGATTCCTTTCTCAAGTCTAAAATACAATTTATTAAAACCTACAAAATTTTCTTAAGTTGAATTAATATCAGTGCAGTGAACACACTTGGGTGGTGGCACTTTGAGATTTAAAGAGATATCTTGTTTTTAGGCAACTAACTGTCCTTGTGAACATGACTTGTGATTGGCTGATTGTTATTGGGTGCAGTGCTCTGGTTGAGTTTATTGCACTTTACAACAATACTGTACTATAAACAAGCTAGCCTGCACCGTAGACACTTTAAACCTTCTTTAAACCAACTATATCTATACTGTACACAATACGTGGGCCGTCTGCACTGAAGGCTATAAACAAGCCAGATGATGTAAAAAGCAGCATTATCTGTCAGCTCTAGTTCACCACTTCTCCTAGATACTTACAATAAATGCACTAATATGATCAAAGAAAGTCCTTTGCAATTTCTTCTGACTCTAAAACCTTTTACATGAAACAACATGCTCTACAAGTATGTTTAAACAATAAACTGCTTTCTTTTGAAAAATAAACTTAAAGTCAAAATATATTATATTACATTGTTATATTCCAAAAGGTCTCACCCAACCCAGTACTAATCCCGCCTGACACAGCTTAACTTCACCGAACAAACAGGGCAAGGGAACTGTGAGAATGTTATGAACCAAAACCAAAATTAAATACCCATAAATGATATAGCAAAATATAACATAGCCTGCTGACTTTGGGGACCTCAATATAAAACAATATTTCAGATCCCAATAACTAAAAGATTTAATTTTCATACTGGTACTGTATAAAAAAGAGAAATCACAAAGTCATACAGTGGCTTAGAAAGAGATAATAGCAAGCCAAGAAGAGGAAGTTTCTTAAACTACTTTTGAACTAGCAGTACATACATGCAGTTTGTTTTTGTAACTGCTATTTCAATTTCAACCACAGAAACCCAAGGAAAGCTTACACAGTATCAGCACCACAGGAAGAAAAACAATCGAAAATCTTACATCTTGTGGACCAGCCTTTGGCAGATTTAGATCTGGAAAAACAACATACTTAGGTAATTCAACGAAGAGGAGGAGCAACAAATAAATTATTAGAAAAAAGGGATTAAAACACCATCATCACTTGTTGCCCACTTGCCAGCTATATAGAAACGTTTTATTCTGAGTATTCAGATAAAAATAATACTAAATAATTTCAAGGAAAAAAGGCCCCCTTTGGCCCACCCCTAAATCCGCCCTTACTGGTGCTTAATGTCACAGCTCCTTTGTTACTGAGAAGAAGCTCATCTAAGGTGCATGAATCAGGGTGAGATGAAAATTAAACTCATTGCATAATCCATAAGGTTAAGTCACAACAATTATATAAAAACATCTATAAAACAAACTTGAATGTTAAATGTGTCTGCTACTCAACTTTTGACACATCTTGTATAAACATCATCCATAAGTTTAAGTCACACCAATTATTTAAAAACATCTATTAAGCAAACTTGAATGTTTTAATGCAAGTGTCTGCTACGTATACTCAGCTTTTGAAACATCATCTACAATTCTTTCTATTATAACTTTCTAAACTTGTTGTAAATCTTTGTACCATTTTTAATTGATCTATTGAAATTTGTTATTATTATTATCTATTAATTGATCTATTAAAATCTCATTCTAGGAAAATCACATAAAATTTTAACTGACAAGAATAGACTTTTATGGATGGATTATGTATACGCTGTGTACCCTCCTAAATGCAGATTCCTGACTCAATTTAAATGGCAAAAAAAGAAAAGAACAAAATACTTTCTGCAATATATATGTTCAAGATGCAATAATGATTCAAGCTGAAAATAATAAAATAGGCCTCACTGAGTTTTCAAATAACAAAATATTCATGATTTTTCATGTCTTAATTCAATCAATGATGAAAGTTTCATTGCACTTACACTGTGTCTGTAAAAAGCACCTCTTAACAAAACAGGAACATTTTTCGTAATAACCAGTAGTTTCACTATATATACACAACTTTGTACATTTTGGATTTTTCCATTTGTCATGACACTGTGCCCCTTCAGATCAAAATAGAGAGCTGTAGCAAGAACAACTGCAACAGCAACAAAGATATCAAAAAAGCATTATTTTATGCATTTATACTACTCCTAGGCAAAACAAGAAGTCTGCACATACAGCACACTTTTTTGTACATTTTTTTGACATCACTGCATAACAGCCGCATAAAATTACCTCTGTCAGCCGACATTTTATGGAGGACGTAAACACACCACAAATGGATTTCTCTTTTTCGTACTAAACTACAGGCAAACCTCTCAATACGGACACCTACATTACGGACAGTTTCCAATGTCTCGACAAAATTCTTATTATATTTTCTTTAAACAAAACCTCTATAATATGGACTCTATCTCATACGGACAACGGACACTAAATCTCGGCCCCAGAAAGTAAATTCATATAAACTTAACCTCTTTATTATGGATGCTGTAGTGATCAGCTGAATCCTAAATCCTGATCAGGTGAATTTGCACAGGGTAAATCCCGTCTGGTCTGGCTGAGAAGCTATGCAAGGTGACTTCAAAAGCCCATTGACTGTATACCAAACATATTACTTTGCAAAAGGTGTGCAGAGGAACATAACCGACTTTTTGAAGGCTACAGATAGCATGAAGACCTTTTCTATTATGTACATTAATTTTTGTACTCTAGTTTATACTGTTTACTGCATTTGCAAAATAGTGAAAGGCGCTTTCAGAATTGTGCTTTACGTTACAACTTTTTACATGCAACATTGTGCTGTAGCTCATTTCGTATTAAAACTGTGATTTGTCTATGACTACGTATGTAGCTGATATGAACAATTTTGTATGCTACTAAAAGACAGTGTCTTTGTACTGTGAATTAATAAACTTAAATGCAGTTTAAAGACAAGTGTAAGCCTGTTTTTAGCCACTGAACACTTAAAACTGTAAGTAGAGTCACAAAAGTGATGTCATTGTAGTGACCTCTTTTATATGGAAACCTCTCTAATTCAGACACTTCACTCTGTCCCTTCAGTGTCTGTATTAGAGAGGTGCAACAGTCACTGTAATGGGTTTGATTCCAAGAAATCAATTTCAAGAAACTTAACCTACTTTCTGATATTTAAAGCAAATGAGTTGAAATAACATTACAAAAAAAGTTTCAAAAATGCGAGGACTTCTTAATACTACATATATTACTACTTTTACCACAAAAACATATTAAAAACAAGGGTTATTTGTTGCCTGACTCACAACTTACAGTTGAATGTGATAATATGAGTAAACTGTAATGTACGTGTAGTTCCAGAAAACATCCATAATAACCCCCCCCTCCCCTATATGGAGGACACTTTTACTTTAGACCACCCACACCCCTATAATTTCCGTTCCAAGGGGTGGTTGTCGTACACCCCATGCCACAGAATTTTCTGTTATCTAACTTGGTTGGGACACCCCCGAAAAGAATATTTTTATGAAACATGCTGCTGCACTATACTTTTATGGGGAAGATAATTGTATGTTTTCTGTGATAAAGAGAGGAAAAATCTTTTTATTCATCTTAAAACAGTGTCTAATGTTCTCAGCTTTATACCTTGCACATAAAGGCCTTTCTTTGTTAATTATTAAGAGTGAGTACAGGTGTATGTCACTGACAACCAAGGAGGCAATACCTTACAAGACACAGTAAAGTGGACAAAACTGTTCTTGATTAAGTTTTATTAAATACAAAAAATCACAAGCCATAACGACCCTTAATGATATATTTGCCCTTTAAACAACATTTAATTCCACACATGGAATAATATTACACAAGGAGGAATTGTGTTACAGCATATCAAAACTTGGTAACAAAATCACCAAGGTAAACAAAATCAAATAATTTTTAAGAAAAACAAATCACATGTTTTTTGGTGAAAAAGAAGTGTTGTCATGTTAGAATGTTGTGTCCAAATAAATCTTGCAGCAAAGAAAACTTGGATCAAGTCATTGACATGCAGCAGTATAATCTTTTGATACATCAGCAGTTAAGAAAGTCAAAGATTCAAGCTGTGATACATACATATGCTACCACTGCACGGCAACGAGGCAAATCCACAGAGTTGTTTGAAGCAAGCTGCATGTTGTGCAACACAACGTGAGACTAAATGGCAAGCCCCTGAGAGAAAAGCCAAGAAATATGGTCCAGCAACTATTAGAGAGGCCCACATAGCAGTGCCAGAAGTTCTTGGCCAACTATATGCATGCTTTAACACACAGCAGCATTTCGTGGCTGCTGGCATGGAACGCAGCGTGAGCAACAGGCTGCCATCTTCAAAACAGATGGAAGACCGATCTGGTGGCAAGAAGACTTTTAAGATGATGCAAGTCTGAAGAAAGTGCTATATTTGAGTGGTCAAATAAGTTGTAGACTGTCCTTAAGTTTTCCTTGTGTTTTCCCGTTGAATGCTTTTTGAAACATCCACAAAAACGTCACAATATTCTTAACACAACAACCCGTCATTTTTTTATTCGTTTGTTTTTTCTTAGAAACAATATGATTTTTGCATACCTTTGTGATTTCGTTACTGTGTTTGGATACACTGTAATGCAAGTCCTCCTTACATGATCAACACGAAAATATTTTCCCATATGTCCAATTTGATAAACTTCAAAAGAGAAAAATATAATTGAGGTTCCTTGGCTTGCTATATTTTTGTATAATATAACATCAATCCAGAACAGTTTTGTCCAGTGTACTATGAGAGCATCTATGAAAGAACCAGTAAACAGTTAAGAACAAGTTAAAAGAAGGCTGATAGAACATGACCATAACACAGTGAATACCACAATTATATTGTGAAATATAAAGCAATGAGCTGGATGACCAGCATTATTCATGAGCCGATATGACATTCATATTATAGATATATGTAGACTATATCATACAGGTAAGCTGTGAAAAAAGCATTCAGCTATAACTGTTAATGTAAGATCATCAACAAAAACAATAATTCTTGTTTCATTCAAAGTCCCTGGAAAAAAGACCTTGAGAATCTACTCCACTCCCTTGGAAATTGCCTCCTCTTGGACCCCCTTCCCACTGGATTTCTGATGCCCTCCGTGGGGGGCATAAACCGCATCCTGGTGTGGAGGGTAACAGTTTCAACTTTCTCATGAACCTATGCAGGTATACATGTAATAGCTACTGGAGTCACTGCAAGTTTTTCTTTAAAATTTGTTAACAGTTTTAATATTGTTGTTAAATGTACATGTATTTTATATGCTGACACTAAACATGACACTAAACATTATAACCTCAGTGAATTGGTAATGATCAAATGTAAACAAAGCACTGGTTTATTCATTAAAAGTTCTTACATATCAAGTGAACTCACTCACTTCAATTCCTCATGAACCTATTGTTGTGGTGCATAAAGCTACCATGGTGGCCAATCATTTGCATAAAACTGGTAAATGAGGTACAGTAACACCAGCAAATAAGAATTAACCTACTTTTTTTTGAAGTCTGGCAAAATAGGTTCTTGTATTTTGAGGTACTTAATGGCAATTTAGGCTATGTAGGTTCTTAATTAGGTTCTCAGTTTTTACGTATGAAGGACATTACGGAACGGCGCCTGTAGATCCGCGTCGCCCGCAAAATCGCGGGTCCCATGACTATTTGCGCGCTCACAAAGGGAGCCGACGCATGTCGCGTCCTTTGATTCAAGACTCAAGTGTTAGGGTATTGTTTCCATGATACAAAGGTAATTTAACGTAAGAAAATCTATAGATCGAAGCTTTTGCGCAACTCTCTGTTTTATAAGGAAATGCAAACGCTCAAATTGATAAATATTTTGACTTCATAACATATTTTAACGATTTAGGCCAGCAGAATGTATAGAATTCCAGGAAAACAATTCAGGAAGCCGAACGGTTTTGAACTGCGCTAGAAGTAAGTTTTATCAGTATGCAAATCACCTACCCAATCACTTACTCTCCATCGAATTGAAATATCCTGACTTTTTTTTACCACTTTTCGATTTGATTCGTTTCATTTTATATTATTTTGTGCAAGCTGAGCTCTTTCATGCGAATTTACGCTTTCAAAAGGAAAAAAACTTCGAGGAAACGTTGTGTTTACAACCACGGCAATTTGTATTCTATTTCGCTTCACTTACGCTTATATGCAAATTACTGTTCATCCGCCGGATTTCGCTGGAGACAAAAATATCGATTTTGAATTCCCAGATGCTTGCCTTTTGGGGCACCCCTTTTATTTTGGCTATCAAGATTTTAAAAGCTAAGCTTCAGACTTTTCATTCCAACGTTTTAATGCGGGAAAGCTAGGAGAAATGCTCCAACTGATTTAAGTCACGCAACACGCTTTAAGACCGCATAACCTGATCTTTCTGTTATCTTTTGTTCTTCTATTGTCTCCAAAACAATAACGATGTTTTACCAATTTCCACCTACAAATAATAGGACACATTTGATTGACAGAAAAATTTGCATTTACTAGCGACGCGTATCTACAGGCGCGATTCCGTAATGAGATAGATTGTTGATTTAAAATCACAAAAATAAATTTTAAACTTTTTAAAGTTATTCATAATAATTGTATTATGTCATATAACCCTAACAAAACTGATAACCAAATTTCTTGTTAGTCTCAATTGCAGATTCAGAATCTGTAAGCCATGTTTTGTTCCTTGTAAATAGTCCACAAAAGAGAAGACATGGTCCCTGCAGGGTTGAACATAGCAGTGACCATGGAAACTTGGGATATAATGAATTGCGGCATGACTCAGGAGCTCGCCACGAAATGTTTTGTGAAGAAAGCTTAGGAAAAGTTAATGCAAAAGATTTAGAGCTTTTCCGGAATAGGTTGGTCCACGAATTCTATTGCTTAAAAGTGGTGATTACTTTGGAACAAGTGGTCGAGTAAAAGAAGAATCTTAATGAGCAAAACTTCGATCAATGGGGCAGATGGTGAGGCTAACTGGTCGGGTGTTGTAAACTTTCATTCTTTCATTTCAGCGATGACCGAAATGACATGCCATGTTCATCACTTTTTTTGCTCTCTGGCAATGGTGTAATTTCTCTCATACTCGAATCTAGGCCCTTAATTTTCGTGTATTTATGCACATGTATTCAATCACTTCAGAAACAAATTGTCAAATACCATATATAAAATAAAATATCTTGAAGAATACTTGACTGTCAATAAAGTAGGAAGTCAAAAACTTGTCACAAGAAAATCCTGCTTCATGTAGATGTAATTGCCTCCTCATTTCTTGAGCAAGCGAGACTTATGAATATATACTTAAAAAATAACTCATAGGTACCCCCCTTTTTACCACTGATAGTTACCTCCCTTTGTTAAATTGTTCATCATAATTTAAGCTTACATGTAACTTGCAATGATGATCTTCTTAGGCTTAACTTGCTTCACGATATCATGTTTGAATCCCTCAGTCGCAAGGACATATGTGAGCATTTTTGATTGGCTCGTTTGTTACACAGTTTAATGTGATTAGCCTGATTTGAATTAAGCATTGACAGGCCAAACACAACTAATTTATATAATATATAGCTTGTGAGAAGGGAGATTGAGCTTTTGATAGTGCAATTAACGTGACCGAAGAGTCAGCTTGAACAACAGTGGTTTTTCTTGCTCTCTTTTTGTGTAGTTTATGCAGTGCATGGAGTATTCTACACTGAGCAAATTTTATTTTACCACTTTGAGTGCCACATTTAGAGGTTGAGGTTGCTGGTCTGTTCCATGCATATTGAGCAATTAGTTCCTATGGTTTATGTTTCTGCAGATGTTTTCTGACAGGATTTGATTACAATTTATGCAGTTTACCACGAAATGATTTTCTCTTACCTCTGTTTAATACGGTGGCCCACAAGGGACATGCTGCAAATAAAAAAGTTGCTGCAAAACAAATGAAGTTGCTGCAAATAAAAAGTAGTTGCTGCAAATAAAAAATAATTGCAGCAAACAAAAAAATATCTGCTGCAAATAAAAGCAGTTGCTGCAAATTAAGTGACAGAAAATTATGCGCACACACTGATGGGAAGAGGAGGACTCAGTATAGTTGTATCCAGGGCTCACTCACAAATGCTTGGCCTAATCCTCAGTGACAGGAACCTTATTTGAGTTCAATAGAAACAATTATCGTCAAACCCATGGAGTTGCATTAGGCATAAAAACAGCAGTGTCCTTTGCAAATATCTACAAGGCGGAGACTGAAACAAACCTAATCCAACATAGAAATACCAATGAAAATGTTTCATTGATGACGTTTCCTTTCTTTGGGACTGTAACAGAAAAGACCCAACTTTTTATTAAAGAAACTAACAAATCCCATTCCAGAAATGAAGTCCACGGCCGAAATATGAAATAACGAAATAACTTTCCTTGATACAACAGCTTTCAAAGGAGAACAACTCACAGAGAAATCCATCTTCATTGGACATCAAATCCCACTATAAGCTGACTAAAACCTTTCAATATGTACACTTTACCTAGTTCCACCTACGAGGGTAAAAAGAAGTTTCATTAAAGGCGAAGAAATAAGATCGATAAGAAAAAACTCCTAAAAAAAAACATTTGAAGAGTGCCTTGTGAACTCGAAGCACACAAAATCCTAAACCGGATATAGAAAGGTCGTTGTCAGGGGTCAACCTTGACTCGAGACCCTGATAGGGGCTAAAACAAAAACAAAAAAAATAAAGAGAGACTATTGCCTTTCATTACAACATATAACCCAGCGGTACAAGACCTTAAAAAGACGTTGATGGCAAACTACAGTCTACAGGCCTAATAAGAAATCAACCTCTGTAGTGCTGAAAACAGTTTAAGACCTCCTATCATATCCTACAAAACACATGCTTGAGTGCAAAAATGTAACTTGAAGGCAGTTGATAATTCAACGCAACCACAAAAACCACATTGGGAGTCCTTGCAGGTCTGCCTTTTAATTAACTTCCTTACAACTTTACTGAGTCCTCCTCTTCCCATCAATGCGTGCGCATACTTTCCTGTCACTTAATTTGCAGCAACTGCTTTTAATTGCAGCAACTATTTTTATTATTCGCTGCAATTATTTTTTATTTGCAGCAACTTTATTTAACTTGCAGCAACTTTATTTTATTTGCTGCAACTTTAATTAATTTGCAGCAACTTTATTTTATTTGCAGCAACTTTATTTAATTTGCAGCAACTTTTTTATTTCCAGCATGTCCCCTGTGGGCCACCGTAGTTTAAGCCTTATGCTTTTTTCTTGTGGCTAAATAACCTTAGTTTCTTTGGTCTCTCTAAAATGCCTGCACCTGGATAGCCACATGTAGTAGGTTTTATTTTTGGCTGTGAAGATAATGATTTCCTGAATTTTTTGTTTTGGATGCCAGAAGCCTAGAACTGTCAGCTAGATTGCAGAATATGTGACAGTGCATCTGCAGTGATTGGAAGATGCTAGAAAACCACTGGGCAAATTTATACAAGCAAATTCCTATAAAAAAATCACAAGGAATTCTCTCAAAGTATTTTTTTGTCCAGAAGAAGGCTTTAAAGTTTGAACTGCTCTTTTATTATTTGCTGTAAACTGCAAACGATCATTGCCAACTCCCTTCTGTGAATTTTGACATGTCACTGTGCCTTTTAATATTGGCATGTGCACGCAAAGAATTAGGCAACTCATGAGGCGCATAACATTAACGTTAACCCGCAAGAAACCTACCTATCACAAACACTCACATATGTTTTTGCAACTCTGCAGGACGTTAGAATGAACTTTTATGCACTTGTTCGCAAATGGACTATACAAATGGTTTAGACGAGTGCGTGGGCTGGCTGCAACATAGGCTAGGCTAAACTGGTTCTTGTATTTTTGCATGGGTATTAAAGTGGCAAATTTCTGCCAGAAGGTTCTTACTCCACAGGTTCTTATTGGTGGGTGTTTACTGTATTTAAATGTTTAATGAAGAACGAAGCATATAAAATAATAAATGGATATGTTGTAGTTAAGTTTTTATCTCAGGTAATTTTTCTTTTTCTTTTGTTTCAACTTCATTAGCAAACATTACCATACCCAAAAACAAAAGAAAAACAAAAAATTACATGAGCTGGAAAATTACAACAGATACATTAAGGTGACCGCATAAACACATAAATAAGCTAACTTTTTAAATTAATAAAAAGGGTTTAATATAAATAATTGTTAAATTATACATAGTTAAAACCCTATCACTCCCAGAGTCAATGATGGAACCACAACATGTAGTTCTTACTCTTGAGCCCCTGGACGAAACCCCTTTATCAGTACTCTCACATGGTACTATTTGTTTTCAGTATTGGACGAAATGAAATTTCGACTTCTTCGTTAACAACGTTTTGATTTTGTCAGAGCACTTTTGGAAGTGAAGAGTAAAAACATGAATACTTTACATACCAGTATGTCATCTCTCTTTGTATTGCTGGCATAAAGGTGGTAATGGTTATCCAACTCACGATACCAAAGTTGAAGCTCTCCTGCTGTATCCTTATCCTCACTCCCCCATGACACTATTCCATGTGCCACACAAATCTGTGTAGAGCGCGACAGACAGAGCAAGTAGGCCATTTTGTTTATTGGAAGAGCACCTCGTCCCCAGGCTCTCATCCTACTGAAAATCGCACCTGCCGCAAGGACTTATGGGCTGCATTTGTGCTCTGAAGCGTTTTTTATTTTCTTTCGTTTGTTTTATTTGATGGTCTCAATGGGGTTAACCGATAGGCGTAAAACGGCCAAAAATTTAGCCGATAGCCGTAAAAATTAAAAAAATTTAACCGTTAGCCGTAAATAGCGTAAAAAAGAGTTCACCGTAAAGAAAAGTGTTCCCTAGATTTGCTACTTTTAAGGAAGGTACTAAACTCACTTATGGTTGCGTTTTTTATTTCCCGGCTAGTGTGACTCCGTACGCACGTTAGGCGAAGTGCCTTTTAGGTGTTAACCAAGACCTAGGCTCCATTTCCGGCGCTTTCTTCGGGAACTAATTTTTTCCATAGCGAAAGTGTGGGTTCTTGCTGGGGATTAATATTTGCAATTTTCAGGAGGCCGTGCCCTCAAAACAGTAGTGAAACAACACGAAGATGTCACTGTTTGTAAAACACGTTGCCGATAAACAACACTTCCCTGTTTTTCTCGGACGCTACGGTAGACATCGCCATGCCTAGTCCCTGTTCGGCGTCTTCCCACGCAATCTCGGTCAAGGCATTTCAGTGGCGAACTCGCTCGGACCACATGACCCGAAAGGCATCAGCCGCGCGGAATAATGCGGCCTACGTAGAGTCCTTCGCTATCATTAGAAACACTGGACACGGGAATTTTGTTATTGGCCGTTTTCACACTAGACCTAGAAATGGATCATCCGTCTGAGACTAGCCTGTGAACAGTCGCGCCCTCCCCACAGACACCCCTTCTCCGATTTTTTCTGAGGGGAGGGGGCAGCTGTACACAAGCTATCTGGAACGGATAATCCTGTCTTCAAAAGTCAGGTGGATTGTTTATTCAAAATTAAAACTATTCCATTGCCAAATTAAGACGTATCACCTATCTGACGCGAATCATCAAACGGATAACCCCCTCTCACACGAATAATCCTTCTCTAGTGTGAAAACGGCCATTTCTGTTATAATGAATGTCGCGCCCCGGCCTTGAGTTGGGCGTTCGCGAGTCTGCTTTTGCTTTTTCACAAAGATTATTTTTAAATTGACTATTGACATTTCTATGTGTAAAATAATATCAGAAGTGCAATACTTTATAAAAAGTATGATCTATCAAAATAATGTTAAAATTTTTCAAAAGAGTAGCTTATTTCATCCCGAGATGATCCGAAGACCTTTATTTTGATTTAAAGATTCAAAAAAAATACAGGTTAATTAATATTTAACTTTTTGAAACAAAAGAAGTTAATTTTTAACTTTTTCGTTAACCGTAACTGAACCGATAGCCGTAGAAGAGCCAAAATTTTTGCCGATAACCGTAAAAGCCACCACCCCATTGAGACCCTCTTATTTCCCATGTGGGGGAAAGAAAACTCAGACAAGATCAACAAAATGCACATCCAAGGTGACGTTTTTCATCTTCCTCAAAATGCATGCTTAATGTTTGAAAACGATGCTCTGTGCTCAAGTAAAATTATGCTGACAAGTACAGGCAAATAGAGAAATTCTCAGTGTGACCGAATGGAGAGGCAAACACTTAAAAAAAGCGTAAACCCGGCACATAAAAATATGTGACAGGGAATTTTCCCAGCCACGATCTTCTCTTTTCATTTTTTTATAAGTGTGATGTCACCACCGGGATTACTACTCTCTCTTTAACCTGTCGGACCTGCTTCACTTTTTGAAGATTTTCTCTTCTGTAGTTCGCTCGTTTCGCCTTACCCAGGCGAAAATGGTCTACGGCGCAAATAAAAAAAATACTGCCTAAGTGTAGGTTATGTTCTTGTCCGATGCTTGCTGTTTTAGGAACGGACAGTTACAACAATTTAATGATGGAGAGGGATGGGCAAAGCAAAAACATTTTATACAGGCCAAAACGCTTGAAAAAAGTCATGCAAACCACAATGAAAACAAAAAGAAAACTCCAGAAAATCCAACCCCTTACCCTTTACATACCATTTTTGACGAAAAAGGTCCCCTTTCGCATACCTTCTATCAGTGACAAATGGTGCCTCTTCCACATATAATTGTTTATATTGTTTATAGAACTTTGTATCCCTTTTGACTGCTGTAAATGCACTTTTTTTTTTTACATAGAATAGCCTGTACACCGACGTTGTTTTATTTTTCTTTTTGTTCCTACTTCCTTGCACTGGTGGTCAATAAATCCCCTGCGGTTTACATTTTATCACTCGCGCTCGACGGACTTTTGAAGAGGAAGTAGAGAGTCTGTCAACAGGCTACTACTCTCAAAAACAGAACGTTTTTTGGACTTTTCAAAGCCATTTTATTCATCTATTAGCCCTATTGGGCCCTTTAACAGACCCAAATGACAGAATTCCTTACCCTTTAATATACTTAAACTAGTGAAATCACCACCCTTTCTTATACAGCCATTTCGAGAAAGGTTGTCGGAAGGCTGGTATGGCCAGCCGAAATATTGTTATGAAAAAACAATACATGTTGTTCTGAATCAGCGTTGCACTAGTCTTTGGACTTCTCGTTTTAGGTATATATATATATATATATATTAGTTGTTTTTGGCTTGTCAACATTTAAGTCAAATCGGACTAATCACAAACTGTGTAAGAAACTAGCTAATGAAAAACACCAACTTAGGTAACCCTTTCCGGCGGAGCCTCCCCGCCGTAGGCTAATATAGGAAAACCCCCGGGTCTGGTTTTTTTAAAAGATACTATTCTTAAATATTCTCTTTATTTCCAGCCCGGAAGCACAAAATATTGGCGTTCAGTCCTGAACACATTGAGTGATGCCATAAACAACAAGTTTACTCCGCTACAAGACGATGCCCATCCTCTCCCCTGCATGAGTTATTTCGAATCCTTTTCTCTTTGTCTTTAAAACGCGCATCTTCCATATACATGCTAAGAAGCCGTTTTATTAAAAGGCCGGGAATAAAATATATAAAACATTTCAATAATTGAAGTATTTGTTAGTTTCCCTGAAAGCAGAAATACGTATTATCAAGTGAGAATAACGGGACAGTCAGTTCAGCAGGCCAGCGGCTTTGGAAAAATATGACAATCATTGCACCAAACGTTATTTTAGGACAATTAAACGCTGTTGCTAGAATACATAGAAAATGTTAAATTCCCTTACAGCTATGCAACCGTTCTTTTATCGCTTTTAGGTCTCGGACCGCGCTGCTGCTCTATCTAAAGTTCTTTAAAAACAAACCGCCTTTGACAGTTCATAATGGAAAGAAACAACCTCATTGAACAACAAAAGCAAGACTTAACCCATAGAAAATAATCGTAATGAAAACTGTCCTTAACACTGCTATCACTTTATTCAATCCTCAGAATGCTGGAAATTACGCTTCTGAGAATTTGGTTTTCAATTTTTTTGTGAACGGAAGCATGTCCCGAGACTGACCCCCTAAATTACAGGAGACCTGACACCCCCCTCACTACTGCCTTTGTCAAATAGCCAGGCTAATCATGTATTTATTGGATAAATGAATCATTAACATCCCGGAGGCCTATCATGTAAAATCACATGTATTTCCACATAAAAAGCGGTCCTTACAATATGTAACATGCCATCATTAAAAATTTGCATAGGTTATAGCATTATTTGTTGTTGGCATGAATGCCACGAGTGATAATTCAAAATGGTTATACGAGACAATTTTGTGGTATTTATGCCAAATATCACGTACATTATTTGTTCATACTACTACCCGCAAAAGGCTTGTAATTTTCACATGTAGGTATTTCAAAAAAGCTGAAAATACGTATACCACTGCTCTAGGCCAATCAAATTGCAGAAATTTCTCATGTCGTAGTATAATGGGAAGTAATACAGCAAATGACGTGAACACGTAATTTCAATAACCTTGTCCAAAAAGCAATATTAAAAAATTAAACAAAAGAGAAAGCTAGGAGTAAATTGGAGTATGAATGATTCCCGGTCCTAAACTGAATATAACGTCGACTAAAATGAACAAAGATTACCAAAATAAGTTTGCTCCTGACATTTGGTGTTTATTCGGAAGTATCATCTTTTGTATTTTGACATTTTTATATATTCTTATTTAAAGATGGATATTACAATTTTCCAGTTTTCACAAAGCCAAGTGACGAAAATATCCAAACCTGAGTCATGCAACTTTTATCCACAGAATTCTTTTAATTTTATTCGTTATCATGACCGTGTGCTTTTTATCGTTGACGAAGAGAGTTGGATTGACTGCATGCAGAACTAACTCGTGTAACTCCGGTAAAGGTTGGACTATTTGGATAGAGTAAGACGACGTGGAGTGAGGAGAGATAACGGCTGTATTCACAGGCCTGCAGGTTACTAGACTAAACTTGTTCTTGGTACTGAAACTTGGACTAAGGTGCTCAGGCCGAAAGTCAATTCTAAATCAATTTATTTCAAGCCGTAGGCTCGAATCCCGAAACATCGAGTTTGGATTCCAATTCGAGTTTGAGTTCGAGTTCATTATGAGCACATTGTTCAGGCGGTGTGTGCGCTAAATAAAAGATTATTTTAATACTAATTTTTTCTTGTAACTGTTCAGCATAATTTTATGATATAAATTTTTTAATATATATACTGCTGTTGATCCCCGCAGTTTGTTTTTCAGGCTTCAGGTATGAAAGGGTAGGGATTTCACTTGTTGGAGCATACGAAAGGGTAGGGAAATCTAATCTTTGGGAAATCTGTCATTTGGGTTTTTGAAAGGGAAAAAGGGCTAACAGATGAATTTTATAGCTTTATAAAGTCGAAAGAACGTTCAATTTTTGTGATTGATTCCTATTAAAAAGACAGTGCATTTACAGCAGTTAAAAGGGATACAAAGTTCTAAACAAGGTATGTGAAAGGAGTACCATATGTCAATAGAAGGTATTCTAAAGGGGTACCTTTTCCGTGAAAAATGGTATATAAAAG